GTATGTAAAGTATAGGACATAATATGTATTGAGGACATAATATGTGCCCATACATGAACTCCTTACCCGCAGTAAACGGGAACCCACTGACCGAAATTTGCATTGCGGGCTTACTTATATTTTAGTGGGTTCAAGGCTGTGTTGCCCAATCACAGCAAAGATTTGGTTTGGGATAAAATTTCAAAATGGTCTCTTGTCCTCTTTCTCGATGTGCAGTACTGTGTCTTTGCGAAGACGAAATAATGGAATTCTAAAATGCCTATGCGTGATAACATTTTTCTAGGATGAATGAAAACCCGACAAGCAGCAGTGATTTAAACAGAGGTCCGTTTTCGGCGACAAAACTTGTAAGTGTCTTTCCAAGGTCGAAGATAATGGTTGTGCGACTCTCTCAATCGCTTCTTATTGCATCCAATTCTTTCATTTTATTTTGAAAATATTTTGAAAAAAAATAGTTTGACGATGGATTTAGATGGATTTCTTTGAAGTCTTAACAGTTTTAATTATGTTGCTTTTTTGATCAGTGGAATGAAGTCGTTCGACAGATGAAACTCAATGTTCCAGTGAAAAGAAGAAGGTGGCGGATGAAAGTTTATGAAGATGTGTTTGTTGCTTCAGAAGCTTTGGATTGGCTTCATGGATTTTTGAAAGATAATCCCAACTTTGGAGCTGATGTGAGTCGACAACAGGCTGTGCAGCTGTGCCAAAAGTTTCTGAAAAACGGTATTCTAACGGATGCGCGCGGAAAGCAATATAATGGAATGTTCGAAGATAATAACCATTTGTATCGGTTTTCAGATAGAGCGCGTTACTCCCCGTACAAGACAACTCTATCTCCAAAAGGTGAGAAACCTTTAGAGCAGAAAACAAGGGATAAAGGAGCAACTTCAGAAGATAAGGGACTGAATTTGATTTACAAGGATGAAACATCAACCAAAGAATTAGGACAGGAAGACGGATCAAATTATCCAAAAATCAGAACACCAGTCGTAAAGAGTACATATAACCTGAGGTCCATGGGTGCAGCACCATCAAGAACACCGCTTGTTAATAAAATGAATGTTTGGAGTGCAACAAGAACTGAGCCGAAAGGAAGACAAGTTAAAAGCTCCGTTAAAAGGAGAAGGAGTCAAATACAGCACAGTGACCTAGAGGACGTTATAATGAACCCAGCAGCTCTTGTTGCCGAAAATCGGCGATCCCTAACAGAGAGAGAAATCAGCGAGGTCTGGTGGAACATTGCTACCACCCGGTATGTTGGCAAGTCATTTAACGTACAGCATGCGATGTTCTGGTAGTTTTTTTTTCCTTTGACAGGAAAGTGAATGACGAATGATATATTAAAAAATGTTAAATTGAGACCGCGGTCCACTTAATACAGTCAGTGTCAGCTTAGGATTGGCCCTAACTTTTTCTTGTATTTTTCGACAGGTTAAAAAGGCTTCTAGATCTTGATGATTCAATCCTTAACTCCTTGAAAATTGGAGGATATGACATCACTTGTGTGTGGCACAATTCACAAATTCAAAGGATCCCAAGAGGTAAGGATTGCTATTTGTAACAGGAAAACAAATAGAAAAGAAGATTACTATTAAGTTTTGAAGCCAGTTCGTTTTCACCCTAAACTCCTGGTATAACAGAACTAGACATGTAAAGAACTGTCTTTTTTTACTCAACAGCTGGTGAAGTCTTGCCACAATGGCTGATATCTGCAATGAAGTGCCTAATACACTGTAAGGATGTTAATAGCTTGATAGTTTTTGTATGGGCAAGAGGAGACTGAAGAAGGTGAATGATAACACCTGACCCACCCTCAACCTTTATCATTTTGTTGTTTGTCCTCTCTCCTTTTTAATTGTCTCCATAGAGCTAGAGCTTGATACAGTCTTAAATTGAAATAATTATTAAATCCAAACATAGCCATGTAAATCTTTATTTTCCTATTTTATGATTGGTATTACTATATTTAATGTTATCATTACTATTACTATATTTGTTGATATGATTATCATGAACTTTATTATCAGTGTAATTATTTTGTTGTTATTAGGGCCAAATGTTGGTTACTCTGAAAATCAAAGCTTGCCTAAGTATGCTGGATTTGAGCGTGATGTGTTCAAAGCTGTTGTGGGGTTCTTTGAAGATGAGCAGACGTACCCACTTGTTCCAAGACATTTGTTAGGGGTCTTCAAGAAAACAGTTGGTAAATGAACTTATTTATAAATGCTGATAAATTTTATCAATACTGCACAATATATGTAAATCACATGGATTCTCATTTCCCTGAAAGAATAGGGGTAATTATCACTGAAATTATTTTGTTTCATAGAAATTTAGAGATCTGCAACATGTTTAACTTTTATTTGGTATTTTTTCCTAGACTATCTCTTCAGTTGTAAGTTAACAGCCATACGCTCCCTACAGTATTGCTGTTTGATGATTCCAGTAAAAAACAGAGAGTTACTTCAGATGCTTTTAAAATTTATCGTTCGACTCATGGATAACCATGTTATCTCCTTAAGTGATGAGTTACCAACCAAAGAAATGGTAAGGAAGTCTTTTGTTTGATTGTGTAGTCTGATCATTCTGGTGAGAGTAGTCTTAAGAATGATTGTTGTCTGTATGAGTGACTGACATTTTGACAACCTCAGTGGATGTTATGATCAGAGTTGAGTTGATTGAGACAGTGATACAGTGACTATGTGATACATTTGTTATTGCTTAGGGTTTAAGACACTGATTCTCTATGGAGAATTTCAGCGGCATTTTATTGTGCCATTGACAGCTTATCCAGTCCTTTAGCCATGTTGTGTTTGGTGTAACTGCAGACATGGATGCCATACGGCTTGTGCATTTTATGATGGAAAAGTTTCCAGAATATTTCAAGGTAAGTGCCAAGGATATAACTTACTGCAACATTTACATTTCAGCTGAGATTCACCTAGGACTAGGACTGTACACACAACATTACTCTATTAGCTAGAGTTTAAATGACAGAATAAGACCTTGCTAAGACTGAATCCTACCTTTATGGAAAGATAGCTTGTTTTAATTTGTGATTTTTCTTATAAAATGGAACTTATCTGCTATAAACTCTTGCAAGAAATTCTTGAAATTTTTGGTCCCAAAAAGAGAAAAACTACTTTACATCTATGGTGTCTCAAGTTTTTCGCATTGGTGGTTTTTATGACAAGTTCAACTCAGATTTACTGTTCATTAGAAGTTTTCCAAGCTCTTGTAAAAGTTTCTTTTGTTGACAGACTGTATTATGTTTGCTAATATTTTTTTTTCCAGAACCCTGAAGGGCTTGAATTTCAAGTGGAACAGAGGCTCTTGTTTCTGAGGAACTGTCGACAAAGCAAAGTGTGTTTTTGCTTCATGTATATTAAATGGTTATGTCAACAAGTTATAGTTAGCCTATAAGAAGGTCCCCTGTAGGTGCTGCAGCATGTGTGTTTCTTCGCTCATAAGAAAGTTTGGGTGGGCTGATGAGATGTCTGCACGGGTTTGGGACCTCTCCTCAGCTCACTTTAGCCAAGAACTCAAACTTTCTTGCAGGCAAGGAAACACTGGTGCCACAGTGAACTGCTACAGTGAGATGAGATGAGAGCCAGCTCACAGGTGGAGTTATGATCAACAATTATTCTTCTAACATGATTGGGGGAATTTTTGATTATTTCTGTTCACATATTTTCAGTCAACTGTGCCATCTACAGTAACATTTTGTCAAAGGGTCACCCCTGAAGAGTACAAAGAACAGACCTTGATCACATCTCAACGTTCACTTAAGGATCTACTCAACAAAATTGTAGAAGATGAGAGTATAAGTACAAAAGAGAGAAAGAAGCAACTTAAACTGGTATGTTTTTTTATACAATAGTTATTAATTTTGTTCCCCCCCCCTAAAGAAGACTGTGGAAAAAATTTTTATACCCAAAACAATCAGCAAACCATGAATGTTAGACTTGAGAAAAACTTCTACTCCTTCCATGGCTGTAAATCTGCAGCTTAGGGTTCCTGGGAGGAGGGGAGCAGGGAGAGGGAGGGGATGCATAAGGCCATTACTGTCAAGGAAAGGGTGAAGATGACAACATGTAAATGTTTGTAGCAGAGATAAAATGGGGGAGGAGGGGCAGGCTACAGAAGAGAGAAGGAGGAATGAAGTATGACAGGAGGAATAGACAAGTCATTAGTTGTTATACTCAGGTTACATCACTCATGTCTTCATCCTGCTTTAAACATGTGTTACTAAGATTGTAATAGCAAGCATGATTGTATTTATTATTTTGTTTCATAGTTTGAGAGGTCCTATCCTGATATTTACCAAGCAAAATTTCCAGGTGACAATTTGTCAACTTATTCACAAAGATCAGAGAAGCTGAGACAAGTTATGAAACCCCTCACCATACTAAAGAACTTGCGATAACAGCTTAAGGTTGAAGTATGCAGAATGGCCCATATTAAACTGTTACTTGCAGCTTGAACATTTTATTTAACTTTAGATTTTCATAGATTTGGGTGTTTTTATTTCAAGGTTTTTTTCCATTGTATTTTTATCATTTTGGGCCACAATTAAGTCAATTTTTTAAAATCAAATATGATATATAGCTAATTTTAAGACTCTCATTATATGATTGCCAGTAACCTTCAAATAACTAAAGTGTAGAGCCTTGTTATCTGATTCTCTTCCTTTACAAGTGTAGATCCATCTACCCAAACTTTTAAATTTGTTGAACATTGGATCACAAACATGAATCTGTGAAATACAATATTATTTTTGGTTTTTCAAGGAAAATATTGAATATTTGAACTACAAAATATGAAATGCTTATCATGTGTATAATATTCTGATGTACAATAAGGTGAAAGAATAATTCAAGAAGTGATATATTTTATCAAGAGTATGTGGATCTGGCATGTAACAAGGTGAAGGTTATCTTGATTCAATTAGTTTTTGATTTAAATTAGTGCTGTCCTCCGGCATACATTTTCTATTTAGACACATTACTGTCAGATGACTGCCTTGTTTTCATCATTAAAAGATCCAGTTTTTACATGCTTTGCTATGTTTTTTGCTTGCTCCACTCCTGTCAAGTATCCACCATGGACGTAACCATTGTACAACTCATGTGTTGCTTCTCCGGCAAAAAACACCTGCTTGACTGGTGCCTGAAGATTAACATAGTCTTGCCTAGAAATTCCAATGGGTAGGTTTGCCCAGGATCCAAAAAAATACCTGTCAAGTCCCCATCTGGGATAGTAAATGTCTATTGGCTCTGGAATGTTCTTTCCATACATACCTCTTAATACTTCCATGATTTCTTCTTGGGTCTTTTCATTGGACTGGTAGGCCAGCCTAACAGACTCTTCCTCTGTGACAGTTATCAGTAGAATGTTAGTCCCTTTGGGTAGCCGAGAATCAGCTTCCAAATTCTGCATCATTGTGTAGTATCCTCTCCTTTGAGAAGCATAGAGAATGTATTCTTCATCATCCCAGAATTTTGACGGAAATTTGATAAAAATCTTGGTGTAAATCACCATACTGAGTTTAAAAATAGCTTCTAACTTCCACTCAGGGAGTTGAGGTGTGAACGTCACCAATCCGCTCTGCAGGACACCAATACTAAAAGTTAGCAACGCGTAATCTGCATTGTACACATCTCCATTGTCGGTGACGACATTAACGCCATTTTCACTCCATTTTATTTCTTCGACAGTTGTGTTTAACTGCAAACGGGAATCTCCAGGTTCCAGAAACATTCCTGCTAGACAGTCCACAATATGCACATATCCTCTAGGGTCAGTAACAAAAAACTGTTCCCCACCCACTGAATGGATAATTCCATGGTTGGCTATTCCTGCACGGAGGGAAACGTATTTAGGTGGAACAGCATATTCAAAGTCATATTCAAAGTACTCTGTAGCCATTTCTTCCGGGTTTGATGGAAGCCAGTCTGTAAGACGCAGACCAACTCGAGCAGAAATGTCTGCACCACCCATCTGCCGGCGCATGTCAATCATTTTGTTCAATACATCCTCTTCATGTTTCAGAAGGGCCATTTTTCCTCTCTCAGTAGTGTTATTTCCGGTTTCATTTCTAATAACAAATGATCTGTTTTCAACCTTTCCTTGCAATCCACATATCTCTTTCAGTCTCTCGATTGGATTTCCCTTGACTCCTTGAATCCAGTTTGCGCCCATTTCGATAGTTGTCCCTTGGAATTTCGTCTTCCTCATTCTTCCACCAATTCTTTCTGTGCCTTCCAAAATCACAAAATCGTTAATTCCCATATCGCTCAATGTCTTCGCAGCAGCAATTCCTGATATCCCACCACCGAGCACAAGGACTGTAGCGTTTCTTTGTAAGGCTGCGCCATGGCTTAGGAAAATCACCAAGGTCAAGAAAATAGGGGACTGTACTAGTCCAAATGGTTTGTCCATCTGAGTTATCAGGACTTGTGCAATAAAGTAACTTTCAGCTCAGCTAATCCCTGCACCTCGGCCTATTATGATGCCCACAAAAACATAGGGATCTGGGCCGGCTTGTTCTAGCTAAGTTAATATAACCCAGGGTTAGTGTGAAATCTGATTTCAGATCTGATGGCTTTAAGAGACAATTCAGTCGGATTCTTTTTGTCACGAATATGATTATTTGATGCTCTATAAAGAACACCAGAAACTATCCTAAAAAGGCATTTGAATAAAGGAATAAAGAAATTCAGATTAAAATTTAACCTTGGGTTAGCGCTAATCAACCTTCGAACAACTGGGCCCTGGGTACTAATACGTCATCAAAACACGAACCTCTATTGCGAAGAGAATTCGCATGGAAAGATGAACATTAACATATATGAAACAGACTTGTGGCAATGTGGACTTTCTAAAGAGTTCATTATCTTCAATCATTAAGAACTGTAATACTTTCTGAAGTTGAAGAAGCGCCAGTATGCCATTGGAAGGAACAAACCCTCTCATAAATGCCCGCGACAGATTATTCCGCGCCCTGTTTTTCAAAATGGCGCTTATGTATGCTCGTTCGTTTCCTCCGCCTGTTCGCCTTCTTTTAGAGATGGGAGTGCTCATGAAGGTATTTAGAAACATGTTTTCTTTTATATAGATGGTTGAGGCCTCTATGTTCTCCTTAAAAGTTTTGTAATTGTTGATATGCAAGATGTTAAATACTGAACAAGTTATCCCCTCTCCCACGTCATGGTTCATTTTCTGGGTTTTTTAAGAACAAATAAGTCGTGCTTTTGGTTACCCAGGGAAATGTCTTTGAATTTTATTTTTTATGTGGCTCACATAATGATGAACAAGGAATGGAACCCATACAACTCAAGTAAATGTAATTTCATAATAAAAGCTATGTTAGATAGTCTTCATGCTTGTTATAACGAAGACATTTTAATTGCGTAGGCTTTGTTCATCATTGAGTGACCAGTGTTTAAGTACATACCTACTGCATTCAGCAATAAGAAAACACTTATGTTAATTTTTACAGTAGTTTGCCAAAGCCACTGTTCTCTAGATTTCTCCAGGTCATGTCTAGAAAGTAATAAAATTTGCA